ATGCCCCAGGATATTGGCTCCCACCACATACATTTTTTTCGCCTCAGCAATTCCAGTTATTTCATTTGGAGAACAACTGGAAAGAGACACAGGTGAAATAGTGCATCAAAATTTTTATCGAGGGCCGTGCATAATTTGGGCAGTCCTTGAATTTGTCAGCCGATTCAATTCTTCCCAAGAAATACTTAATTGTCTGGTTTTTTGCCACCACTGCTGGGGCTACTGTTGTGTGTACATATGTATATGCCTATGCTTTGGAATATCTAATAGTGTTCCTTCATTCTATAGATGGAGTTTTGACGGCGGTTCAAACGTTAGCTTCTACTGCATTGTGTGGGATAATACACTCTGTTTTTGGAGGCCAGCCATTGTTGATTCTTGGAGTGGCAGAACCAACTGTAATTATGTATACCTTCTTATTTAACTTTGCCAAAGACAGACCGGAATTGGGATCAAAGCTCTTTCTAGCGTGGACTGGATGGTACCGTATTCTGCTCTTTCCTGAAAAAACATATCACTTCTCAAACTCTGCTAGGCATCGGTTATTCTTATAATTACCTTGCTCATTGCTATGCATTACTTCAACTTTTAAACTTGCAGGGTATGCGTGTGGACTGCAATCTTACTGTTTCTACTAGCTGTCCTCGGAGCTTGCTCAATCATAAATAGGTTTACTCGTCTCGCTGGTGAATTATTTGGCCTTCTTATCGCGATGCTTTTTATGCAGCAAGCTATCAAGGTGAGTCAAGTATCTGTCACATTGTTCTGTCTTAAAGCTTTAATTAATGATGATGAAGATTTGGTCTTGGCCAAAAAGAAGTAAAGTCTCAATCTGCTTATTCCAACATATTATGAGTGCTGCATGTTATTCATGAAGTCCCTGGAATTTCACCCTATGCATCTTGCCAAGCTGAATGGCAATTTGGTACTCTGTCACTCTTCAGGGGCTGGTCGAGGAATTTCGCTTGCCTGAAAGAGAAAATCCCAGCCTTACCGAATTCCAACCTCCATGGAGATTTGCAAATGGCATGTTTGCTTTGGTCTTGTCATTTGGGCTTCTGCTTACAGCATTAAGAAGCAGAAAAGCAAGATCTTGGAAATATGGATCAGGCAAGTTTCCGAAACCTCAAAGGTCTCATGTGAAACTGGTGTCCCATTCTGTGCTGTGCAGACTATATACACAGTTTAAAATTCATTTATTCTGCGTGCAATCATTTACTTTATCTTATGGCCTATATTTTTCTTATGAAAGATATTAAAATGGAAATTCTGCTTTTCTGTCGGTCCAAAGTCGTGTTATAAGGGGACTTAAAAACCAGTCATGATTTACATGGCATCAAGTTAGTGCACTCTGAAAATTAATCTTCATATGCATATCTTTCTAGTTAACACGCTTACAGTCAATCAAGGTTGTAAGTTTCGCTCAACCTGCTACAGGGTCGCTTCGAGGCTTCATTGCAGATTATGGTGTGCCATTGATGGTTCTGGTCTGGACAGCAATTTCATATGCACCAGCTGGAAATATTCCCAAAGGGATACCGAGGCGCCTCTTCAGTCCAAATCCGTGGTCTCCTGGCGCGTTTGAGAATTGGACTGTTATAAAGGTACGGGTAAACAGATATTCTACTTATGTTTAGCTCATTATTATTGTTATTTTTTTTTGGACTCTATCAATTAGGTGATACAATTCCTCATGTAATAACCGACAGGACATGGTAAAAGTACCTGTGCTCTATATCATAGGAGCTTTTATCCCGGCAACAATGATCGCTGTGCTTTATTACTTTGACCACAGCGTAGCTTCCCAACTAGCTCAGCAGAAAGAATTTAACTTGAGAAAGCCATCTTCTTTCCACTACGATCTACTTCTTCTGGGGTTTTTGGTATGAAGATTGACTTGCTATATCATCGCTTTCTGCGTCTGATAATTCCACTGAAGTTCTTACCTTCTTTACTTAATTGCATGACAGACAATACTATGCGGTCTGCTGGGGATCCCTCCATCAAATGGTGTCATACCACAGTCCCCCATGCACACGAAAAGCTTAGCTACTCTGAAGCATCAGGTACCTAAAATTTACAGCTTCTGCTGTAGAAGTAGTGATCACATGCCCAGATCCGTTCTAGTTATGCTATTATGGTTAGTTAATTGCCATTACGGTTATTTAATGTCTGGCGTTTTGCAATATGTTTATGCTATGCAGTTACTTCGGAATCGGCTTGTATCAACTGCTCGTAAGTGCATGGGTCAGAATGCAAGTCTGGGGCAAGTCTATGGAAGCATGCAGGAAGCCTATCAACAAATGCAGACCCCACTGATTCACCAGGCACCTTCTGCTCTGGTAAGATGATGCGATACCATTTCTTTTAGATTAAACCTAATTCAACCTCTACCTGTATCTAAGTGTCCGATCTACTGGGAAAAAAGAGCTTAACCCTTCTTGCTAACGTCGGAGTACTTCCTAGTAGAAGGCTTATGATTGACAATTTGATATTTATTTCACAAATGATCACTTCTACTGTAAAATAGGGACTGAAGGATTTGAAGGACTCAACAGTTCAAATGGCTTCCAGCATGGGGCACATGGATGCCCCGGTCGACGAAACTGTGTTTGATGTTGAGAAAGAAATCGATGATTTATTGCCAGTGGAAGTGAAAGAACAAAGGCTCAGTAACTTGCTTCAAGCTGCAATGGTTGGCGGATGTGTTGCAGCCATGCCTTTGCTGAAGAAGATCCCAACCTCAGTGCTGTGGGGCTATTTTGCCTTCATGGCCATCGAAAGCCTCCCTGGTAACCAGTTCTGGGAGAGGATCTTACTGCTTTTCACTGCTCCAAGCCGACGATACAAGTATCTATTTCTCGGATCTTCCTGTTGGATTAAATCTTTTTTGCTGCATTTTTTCAAACTGCATATATTTATCTTCTCTCACTTCTAAATCGTTTTCTTCAGAGTGCTGGAGGAGTATCATGCTACTTTCGTGGAAACCGTACCCTTCAAGACAATTATGGTTTTCACATTATTCCAGACCTCATATTTGCTTGTCTGTTTTGGGATTACGTGGGTTCCACTCGCTGGGGTGCTTTTCCCACTGATGATCATGGCTCTAGTTCCAGTGAGACAATACATTTTGCCCAAGTTCTTCAAAGTGGCCCACCTTCAAGATTTAGATGCTGCAGAGTATGATGAGGTGCCTGCCGTATCATTCCATCTTTCACCGGTACAGTGCTATTAATACTTCTATGCATAATTATGTTGAATTACACCTCACTTCCTTGAATACACCACCTGCTTCTGAGAGAAGTTTTCTGTAGTGCAAGCAGTTTAAGTGGTCCTACAATGTTTTTCTACATCCTAAACCAGTCGAGAATCAAGACAGCTTCTAATTATTGGACATTTGACGTGCCTTTGTCATATCAGGAACGAAGGATGAGCAGGGCCATGTCATTTGCTGACGATGGAGAGGTTTTAGACGGTATGATTACTCGAAGCAGGGGTGAGATCAGGCGCACATGCAGTTCTAAGGAGACTAGCTCCTGCGCAACGCCATCTAGAGAGTTAAAAGGCATTCAGAGCCCTCGGATTTACAGCCCACGCATCAGTGAACTGCGGGGGGATCAAAGTCCTCAGCTCAGTGGAAGAAGTCCTTCCAGTCCAAGGACCAGACCATCAAATTTAGGAAAAACTGGCTAGGGATTACATGAATTATCAGATACAATACACTAAGTAGTACTAGATTATAAAAAGAAGCTACTATGCAGCCTGCAATAGCATATTTCTTAGCTCTATTCAAATAGATTTCTCTTCATCGTCAATTGTAAATGTAAGATATCTTGGTGTCGATATTCACTTCTGCTGGAAATCTGTAATTGGAGAACGGTGTTGATAATGAAATATCAGTGTCCTTTTATTACTGCAATTCTTTTTTAGACTTCGAGAGAAACTGTTAATGGAAGGCAACCCCTTTTCTCCAAATCCTTAACCCATAATAGGATGAATGAGGATGCTGAATAAATAGGTTAATGTCCTGTCACATGATACAATGCACTCATTCTAAACAACGGGAAGACTTATGGTGACGTTTTGCTGTTGTAGCGGAGAGAAGGAACACGACAGACAAAATGACAAGCATTGTTAGTAACGATCGCTAAGAAGTCGAAGAAATGAAATCATCAACGTCAGAAGCATACGTAACGCTCTCGCCCTCAGAGCCCCAGGTTCATAATGAAGTGAAATATCAAGTGAAGACCGCACAGACAAATTGATGAGAGTAACCTGTAGAGAGAATCATTTGACGAAGAGAGCCTCTGAATCAAGCACCCATGATATGATTTTCGATAGGGACAGTGACTGTATATGTCCTGTTGATACAGAAGTTCCACCCTCCAAGGCTGACAAGAAAGTCTTCATTGCAGTGAGAGGACCAAGAGGGAATGATTTGGAGTTTGAATCATAGATGTTATAGTGAATGAAAGTAAAAAGTAGTGGCCATGTTCCTTCCCTTGATCTAGATAGCATCTTAAATGGGGACACTCATCTATACGAAGCAACACAAAGGGTCCATGTCACTTGATCTATATAGCATCTTAAATGGCGTCACTCATCTAGATTTGCCTTGTAGAATCTTTAAACATTTTGTTCTGCAGCGTCTCTGGTGAAGTGAAAAAATTACCCCCTTGCAGAAGCAGATCTAGCAGTGATAATAGACTGAATTAGCTTGGAGATGTGCTTTTCATCTTTGCTTATGCAATGAGGAGGTCAGCAATATTCATTTTGACCTCTCGATTTCACTCATCGCCCCAACCAATTTGAGTACGTCAAACAGCTGCATAGTCAAAGGGTCCATGAACTTCCAGCCTTTTCAAACTTCGAGTCGTTCAACAAAACAGTCCACATTTATAGCAAGACTACTGTTTTTATCATAAGACAGTTCTTCAGATATAGGCAACAACTAGAACATCACACTTTTTCTTTGGCCGGAAACAACCATAAATTGCTCATTGCTGTGAAAATCGATCGTGCAGTCAAATGCATTTCTGTTCTGAGTTGTGACATTATCACAAATTGTGACCATATCCATTGGTAGACCTCCAATAGCGATCCATTGACCCTTGTCCTGTTCTACAATGCACTTGCAGTTTTATGTTACCATCACACTCCATTGCAACAATGGGGAATACAAAAAGAGGAATCTTCTGGCCACCGAAGCTAAATTTACTTCATAGACAGTCAAAACCTCGTCAACAAGTCCATTGAAACATATAATGAACAATGACATTACGAGCCTTTGCTGAATTTGCGACCAGTCATCTTCTCTGATTCATACAATATATGGTTTATCAGCCCCCTTGCCGCACTGAAAATAAGAAAAAGATCTAGTTAGAACCTTGGAAACACTTCTTCAATCAAGATACCAAAATAGGAGTTTCGCATTTTGTTCATCTGTAAATTTTTGAGGAAGGTCCTTCGGCAGTCTAATGCTGGATCCCACCAAATAAAAGAGAATCTAACAAAGTTAACAATTACCAAAGCTCATATCGCCTAATCCGGGTCCCCGCAACATTATGAAGATAACACGCATAAAGAATTTCATCATATAGTGTTGAATCCTTTCCACATAAATCCTAAACAATTTCCTTTTCTTTGAAAGAAACAAGACTGTTAATGCTACCAAATAGGCATTGTCAAACTCACTCATCCTTTAGTTTTTGGATTTTCTCAGGATCTGTCTCATGCATGTGCCTTCTAAATTGCTGCCTCACCAAGTCGACAAGAAGCTGAGTATTGTGTTGCTGCACAAATGTAAGAGAAGAGAGAAAAGTCAGTTTCCCAGCTGCACGAAATACGAAAAGTGTATACATGGAAGAAGTGGGCTCAAATTATATACGATACTCCTTGCATAAACAACTTTCAAATTTCAGCAAACATTTCAATTAAACATCATTAGTTCAGAAACCATAAATTTAAAGAACCAATGACAAAATTAAGACTTAAATGTGGCAGATGAATGAAATTTTCCAACTTCCATATCATGATCTTGCCACTTAGGCCATGAAAGACTCACAACCAAAAGCTTGACCAGTGTATATACAGCAACGTCGCGTTCTCATTCCTTTTTTGGTAAATATTATCTTATTGAAAGTCCTCTCCAAGTCAATTAAGAACATCAGACAGCATAAAAACCACTCGTCAGTAGGTGGTGTCCATAAAGAGGGATATGCTTAATGAGAAAGTAGAGTCCATCCAACTCAAATTAAGACAGTGAAGGAGTTGAGACCATAGTATGTAAAAAATATGAATTTCTGCTACTTGTATTGCAGTCGTAGGGTCAAAGGGAAGCATCTGGTCCAACATGCCAAATTACACATATAAGCTCAAATTTGCCGAGACATCTGTTTTATGCCACTACATATGGCCATAAAAAACTTTAGCCTGCCTTCCCCGCCTAAGGCAGATTGGCCTCAGAGGGAGGCAAATATTTAGTCAAACAGGGTATGATCTAATTTCAATTATTCCGATTCATGGTAGCATTCACTTGTAAAACCAAAACTTCAACTTAATCAAATAATGCAAGCAGATAAAACGGAATTATAAAAGACAATGTCCCTCTTAAACACACTATCATTCACACAAAAGCCATCTAACAAGTTTTAAGCAATGAACCAGAAAAGCGCAACAAAAATTGAAGCTACCATCATTGCTTACGCAACAATTCATCGATTTGCTCGACTCAAAAGAATTCAATTTCGAAATGGAAACACTAATCCAACATGCCATTCACTTCAGCTAATATTAGCTAAAATCTATATAACCAACAAAGTCTAAGGAAGAAAGGAGGGTGTACCCGATGCCCTATGTATTTCGCTCTTCGAAGGCACTCGCGATAAAGCTGCAACGACCAATAGGGCGAACAATGAAACTTTAACACGAGCAATTACCAAAAAATGAAAAGACAAGAACAGCATAATATAATTGGATTAAAATAAAGCAGACCAACATGAAATGATGTAATTTCTTAACAACAACGAATGAGAAACATATGAAAGAGGAAAACACACTGACCCTTAAGACATTGTCCGCGAGCTCAGGAGGCAAAGCTGTTTGCAGAGACGGCATCTCGACTCTCTCTCCACCTAATGCAAAACCGGAGAAGGAGATGAAACCCAGATGGAAATCAACAATTGTTTGCGCAAGAACTCAGAGGGGAGGGGAAGAAAAACCAAAACTTCGAAAAGATCACGGGGATATCTCAGGATCGCGCGTGTATCAACTTCATGGTATCGGAATCAATGTTCAAGCTCGCCTCGCTCGACTTCGACATGCCATATTCAATAGCCATACATCGATGAACAGGAAGGAAGGGAGGAAGAGGAGTGTACCTGGTTAAGCAGCAGCTGGAACTGGGATTTTGGAGAATGAAGACTGCGAATTGAGAGAGTTCCTGTAAGTGTAAAGATGGTGATGCAGTGGAACCGTGGAAACGTTGTTTAGGCGATGCAAACGGGCCTGGCCAGGCCGGCCCGAGAAAGGGAGAGAGGTTTTCGGTACTAGTCTACCTTCTGCTGCATAAGGCCTAAATTAGGCCGACAATTCATGTCTTCGTGTTAGATTCGTATGATACAAATTCGTGTTTACAAAGTACCTTTCACTGAAAATGGACGACAACGTGTGTTGATGTCGAGTCGAGTCGTGTCATGACATGTCGAGTTTAGATTTCTTTTCAAGAAATTCATGTTGTTTTAGGAAGCGTCGCCCCTAGCCTCAATAACAATGAGGGCCGGCTTGCTCGAGTCGTCAATGTGATCTTTTTAGCTTGGGTGATTAGACATGCGTGCGTGAATATATGGTGGAGACTAAGGCACCTAAAAGTCTCGGATGTGCACTTGCGACTTTGAGTCTAAAGCAAAGTTCAATTCCTCTCTGTTCGATCAACAACAACCGATTCCTCGTGAGAGGCAGGAAATTTGCAGAAACTTAACTTCGTTTTAGTTAGGCACAAGCATCACCATCGTGGTTTATGCGCGGCTGGCTCAGACTCTAGTCCTCTTGTGTGACTGGATAGCTACTTTCGACACGATCATTATATCACGTGGATCTGAAAAAAAAACGAACATTGGAGTCACTAGTTAAGATGGCTATGTGTGGTTCCAGTAAGTATCAAAGGACGAAACCTTCAATAAAAGAGACAGCAAGGGTTCTAGTATGACACGGTCTGTTTGCTCCTGCAAAAAGCTAGCGAAACTAGTCTGTTTGCTCCTGCAAAAAGCTAGCGAAACTAACTTTCGTGCATAAATTCTTGGTTGAGAGCTGGCAGCCCATTTTGGTGGCCTCTGCTTGGTTCATTATCATGACTAGAGTGCCCTCATGTTGCCTAGGAATGCAACACCAGCGTAAATGGGCTACTAGGGACAATGAAATTCAAGGGTCCAAATCTGGTGATGGTATGAATTGTCACACCTCTATAAAAATATGTATTAGAAACCAGAATCCAAAAAATTACCATGTGGGAAAAAAGACAAAAATCCCCTAATGAAAAAGGTGAAAAGGAAAGAGACCCAGTAATACTACCATACCTCATCACACAATGGGGATAAACCCTAGGAGGGATGGAGCCTAATGGAGAAAAGGAAAAGTCTAATGGAGACCTAAATCCAGATAATTGGCTCCTGATGTGCCTCTATACAATTGTGGCAATTTCATGTCACTAGTGAAATTCATTACGCTATAATGTCTCATCAGTCCTTTCCTGTCAACCATAAGCTAGCAGATCTCTCTACCGCAGTCTGAGGCATCCCATCTTGCAAGCAATCAATGGGAGGGATGTTCATGGTCTCCTGGACCCCGTAGGCGTTCCAGCAGAAAGGGTCGTCGACCAGCTCGCCCACGTGAGGCAGCAGCTCGACCTCCGACACTATGATGTTGGTGCACGCCACCGTGTCGCTGCACGCAAAGTGGATCGGCGGGCTGATCATGTTGTAGGTGCCCTTGATGTTGCAGTAGGAGAGGTCGGCCACATACACAGCCGAGGTCTGGTTCGGGCAATCCTTGTAGCTGCAGTAGTACTGGTCCACAATGATGCAGTTGCGCACGTTCTCCATCCGGATGTTCTTGTAGGAGATGCCCATGACCGACCCACTACCCCCCTGCCACGTCTTGATGCGCAGCCCGTTGTCAGAATCCCTGATCACCGCGTTCTGGACTGTTATATTTGAGACCCACGCCTTCGAGTTGTTCGCTCCCAAGCTCCCGATGCTGTCATCAAATAATGCGAATGAGTAACTCGGTTCTTTTTCTACATTTCATGTGGTCCTTTCTAATGATTGTGGCCTTAAGAAGTGTACGGCCGGAGTATTTCCTAGAAGCTCCTACAAAAAGCTATCCGTCTTCCCTGTTCAATGTCCTAATTAATTATATCATCCACATAAAGTGATTGTTTACAAAACAAAACTACTTTTACCCGTGTTTTCTTGAGAAAAAATGGGGCATTGTGGGGTTGCAAACAAAAAGTACTAAAGTTCCTAATTTTAAACCTTTTTTCCTAAGATGACTTGTTAGTGAAGACATATACTAGTTCCTTTGCTGTGAAAATCTGGTACAGTTCTTAAAAAAGCTATTTTCTTCGCATTTCTTTGGTAGACATCAGATGATCTAGCTTGTTTGGAGGGGACTCATTGTGATTAAAAGAAAGGGTACCTGATCCCATGACTTGGCCCACAAGTAACCCCCTCGATGTGGACATCCGAACCTCCGGTTCCGATGGAGATGCAATCATCACCTGTTTATATCATTCATTGTAAGGAGCCAATAAATGAAGCAATGAACAAGTGTAATCTTGAGATAAATGAAACAGTTTAATTGATTTAAGTACCATTTGAGATCATGCTGTTGTAAATCCCCACGGATTTAGTGTTCCCTATGTGGATGCCGTCTGTGTTGGGGCTAAGTTTTGGGGAAAATATGGATAGCTCATCGACCAACACTCCTAAGCAGCCGTTGAACGTCATGTGGAATTGAGGGCTGTTCTGGATTCGTAACCTGTTGACTGCCAAATTCGAGCTCATGAAGAATAGTATCAACTGAAATGAACCATATAAATACTGGTCAGCACTCTAAATAGAAAAGACAATAGTATATCTATATTTGACTAGTTGGAGTCATGGATGAATTTACTTACAGTTGGGCTGTCGCACGGTCCCGGTAAAGTTGTCCCATTTGGACCCTGAAACAATGACAAGAATGTGTAGTTTTAGAGATAAGTTTTTTTTTTACCCGACTTGAAGGGTGAAAATGTTGTGTTGCAAAAAAATTTGCTTATACAGATGCTGATACAATAATTTGACATGTTGTAGAGTTCAATCACCCTGTGGGGCTTGCAAGGAAGATCCCACCACGGCTCACCATTGCCTTCAATGGTTCCCTTCCCCGTCAGAGTCATGTTGTCGAGCTGGTAGAACACAAGCCATTGCTTCTTGCTATCTGCTTTCGGCCAACAATCCGGTCCATTTGGCGGCATCAAGACCCCATCTACCTGTGTAAACATTTGATAGTTTATATTAGCAACAGAAATGTTCATAAAATGTGTCTTAAAGAAACATGCTTAGAGCTTTGAGAAGGGAAAAGTAGACTACTTTTTCTGGCTGTAAGTTATCAAATGATTTGTGAAATCACTATGTTGTCCAATGACTTGTATTCATTCTCGAAAGAATATATTTGTCACGTTTCAAATGGTTTAACTAGTGTTGGCCAAAAAAAGGAAGAGTTTTACAAGTGCTTCAGAAAAATGTACTGGAGTCATATTAGCGATCTTTAAGGATATAAATGGAGATGAAGTTAAAATTTTGCCAATGCTGACTTGGAACACGAGCCCCGGCTTGCACGGGCCTGAGAAGTTCATGGAAGTGGTCTTGAAAGTGTAGCCCAAGGGAGCGAGGACTACGCCCAACTCCACGGCGCATGCTGCCTTCCAGGCTGCTTTGAAGGCGGGAGTGTCGTCAGCCAACCCATCCCCGACCGCCCCGAAGGCAGTCACATCAAAGATGCAGCCGGAGCTGGAGTTGGACGGCTCAGGGCTCGGGTCGGACGGCATGGTCGGCACAGGCGAGTATGTGGGGGATGGAGGGGCAGGGTCCTGGGCATCAGGGGGAGGCATTAGTGAGGTTGAACTCGAGCCCTTGTCAGGATTCTTCTTCTGCCCCTTGCGGTAGTAATATCTTCCTTCCGCGTTGCTGGCATTTTGGAGGAACAAAGCCAGGACAATCCAAATGAGCACCAATTCTTGAACTATCTTCATGGTAAGTGAATTTTTTGGAGGAATTAAATCGAATTGACCGCGTGAAAATGATCTCGCTCTGTGATGTTGAATGTCTCAGCCTCAGGTTGAATCCTAGGAGTTGGTTATTTTGAGCCCATCTTCAAGATGCAAAATTTCAAGAGATCTAAGTGCTTGCTTTGAACGAATAATGGAGGACAAAGAGAAGAAGCAAAATGAATGAGAGGGAGTATATGAATGAGGGGCCTCAACTGAAGTGGCTTGGCATAGGAACATTCTTGAGGCATCATGGCCTCTGAATATATAATCACCGGAGATCTTCCTGGAGAAGCAATGGGTCTTGTGGGGAGACGCCGACACATGTCGAGTTCTGGTTGATGCGATTATCACCATCTCTAAGGAAAAGTAGTTGGTGTTGTTGGTGCCTTTTGGAGGGGCTTTTTTCTTTTAGAAGCTGGTTTTTCTGTGGCAAATTTTTGGCTGTGTATTATGTTCTTACGTGGAGGCTTCATCTTACTTTGTGTGTGTCTCTCTCTCTTTTGCTATTGGCTTTTTGATTATAATAATGATGATGGTCATAATAACATTTTCCTCTTGTTTTAGTTCTATGTATTGTGGTCCGGAGATGTCTCTGTTTGTCACATTATTCTGCTTTTCCCTCCACTATTGCAATTGTTTTTTGTTCTGTTGGGAATTCGCATCTTCAAACAGTTTCAAACCGGTCTCGTTTTCTGGAAAGCCTTGCAGGGAAACCAAATTCTCGTCTTTCTTGTACTACAGAAAGGCTTTTCAGGCACATGGGGATATCTACCCTGCACCCTTCGTGGAAATTTGTGTAGATCTCACTGTATTTTAACGCGCAATTGATGATGTGATAAAAAGAGCCTAAGCAATCTTTTCTAATTTTAGAATGACAGAACGTTATTACACAACTCGACGGATGATCATGACAAGTGAACAGAAAGAAAACAAAGAAAGAAAGCTGGACTAGAGGATTTGGCATGTCTCCTGGTGATGCATGGCACACGAGTTCCTTGTTCCCCTATTTGGTCAGCGATTTGCCAGAGACACAAGTGCACTTGCCGATAGATCTCCATCAGCCATCACCACCAGAAGATCAAAACAAAAGATGTGGATGTTGCTGCCACTTTATTACGCCACAAACGCTCTAGGAATAGATTTTGCTGCAATTAAGCCATCAACCGTTCTTCTTTTTGGATTTCTAAGGAAAACTTCAAATAAGGGGGCCATTTTCTCATCAGAGACCCAAAGTGTACTTTGTTTTAAATAAGAATTTGAGTTGCCTAATTTAGTCTCAAACCGTTGGAGGAGGGGCACTTTTGGAGCAAAAATTTCTGGATAAAAATTCCCCAAAATGGGTTCATTTCTTTCCCAGTTTTATGAGACCAGTGAGCAAATCCCCCTTAACTGCGATCCCACCTTGAAGGCCGTCGCTCGACAGCAAAAGAAAACAGAGGGAGGGAAAAAAGAAAACAGAGGGAATCCAACGAGCGAAGAAAGCGGCGAGGTAAAAGAATGAAGGAAAAGGGGAGCCGGCAATACGCAGACAAAAAGAGAGAGAGACAAAGAGGGGGAAAGCTTGAGAAGAATATGCATGGGACTTTGGTAGGTGGAGGATTCAGTGGATTGGGCAAGGAGATATAAGAAAACAAAGAAAGAAGCAGAGCTGCCAAGAGAGTTAGAGATATGAGTGGAAGACTAATGCTTGATATGGGAGAATATCCGTTACCCTGTTCGTGGATCGTCACTGGCCTTGAGGAGGTGCCGCGACTCCAAGTATCGACCCTTGGATAAGCCTTTGTCGAGCCATATGCACGTGTCACGGGCCGACAAATCCTAGGCCATGGAATAGTCAATGCCGCACTTGGTGAGTCAAGAACACCAGGCCAGCCTACCGTCTATAAAAATAGTACGACGAATTGCATTTTCATATTGGATCATACCATGCCCAGGTTAACTTGGGCATTCAGTCCCTCGAACGAGACATATAGAACAAATCAGCACAAGAATTGGTTTCGGCCTGCCATAACTTTATCAAAAGAGTAATATCAACTCTCGATTAGTTTGTGAATAGAAGGCCAACCCTGCCTCTATCCTAGAACTTCTTGCACAAATGCCCTATTGCCACTCCTACCAACCACTTGTATCATCCCTTCTGTATCACTCACTTTTCTCTTCGAAGACATCAAGCTCCACTCACAAGGGTACTAGAGTACGGGAGAATCCGGTCCATGACACGCATGTTACACTTCTCCGGCAAGGAGCATTTGTCATTCAATGTTTTATTAACGATTGTTTGACAATATTTTTGGAGACATGCAATTGCAATTCTAAAGCCTCTAAAGGTGGGGGAAAAACACTAGAAGCGCCAAAAACTTGTATACGGCGCTTATTTTAGTGCCAAATGTTTTCACTGGCTCACTTAAGTGCCAAATCGGAGGAAAAACAATCGCTTAAGTGCCAACAGCGAGAAATTTCGACCAAATTAATACATGGCTTTTATAATTAAAATTTTAATTTGAGTTGGATTTTTTAAAAAAAAATCAATCTACGTAGCATTTCCATGTGTATATTTTGATTTTTTAAATATTTTTCCTGATTTTTTTTCCTTCTTCTTTTTCTACCTTTGGCCGGTGACCGGACATCAGCCACCGGCCATGGCCGGCCGCCTGGCCTCGCTCGGACGAGGCCACCGTTGCCCGCCACAGGCAAGGCTCGGCCGACCCTCGTCTGGGCGAGGGCGGGCGAGCCTCGGCGAGGGTTTGCCTCGCCTCGCCTCGCCTGGGCAAGGGTGAGCCCCAGCGAGGGCTCCCCTCGCCAAATCCGGCGAGGCCGGCCCTCACCCAGGACACGATGGCCTCGCCGGATCTGGCGAGGGGAGCCCTCATCGAGGCTCATCCTTGCCCAGATCCGGCGAGGTCGGGGCTCGCCCTTGCCCAGGCAAGGCGAGGCCGACCCTTGCCGGGACTTGTCCACCCTCGCCCAGGCGAGGGTCGGCCGGGCCTCGCCTGCGGTGGGCGACAGAGGCCTCGTCCGGGCGAGGCTAGGTGGCCGGCCATGGCCGGTGTCCGGTCATCGGCCAAAGGTAGAAGAAGAAGAAATAAAAGAAAAAAAAAGGAAAAAAAGAAAAAAAAATCAGAAAAATATTTAAATTATCGAAAAAAATATTAAAATATTATTAAAAATTGTCTCCGTCAGCGCCGACGTGCCACGTAGGACTGAGAAATTAATAAAATATGGTCACATCAGATTTCCGGCAACCAAAATCGGAGTTGGCACTTAAGTGATCGTTTTTTAAAAAAAGTGGCACTTAAGTGATCCGAAAAAAACTTTTGGTACTAAAGTGAGCGCCGTACACAAGTTTTGGCACTTCTAGTGTTCTTTCCCCCTCTAAAGGCTTTTAGCCCAAGGCAGGTCCGAAGGAGTTTCGGGTTTTCAACATTTCCGGAATGCTAATACATTTTTTTCTTTCAACTTTACTCTCGCTAAACTTTCATAATTCAAGAAATGCCCCTCACCTTACGTGACGCGGCAAAGGTTTGAGGTTTTTTTTAAAAGAAAAACAAAAGTCATTTACAAGTATAGTTTTTTTCAAATGACATTTAAGTCAAAATTGCTTCCTAATATGTTTTTAAATTATACTTTATCAAATACTATTTACATTTTGCAAAAACCCTTTCACCTAAAGTCCTTTACATCTCGAACTAAACACACCCTTCGCTTGCTAGCAAAAACATACCTATGAATTTGGGTAGAGAAAGGGAGACTCTCCTTTTAAAGGGAAAAAAAATTTCATAGAGTAAAAACAAAAATGATGGAATGCTTGGCCGAATAGCCCGTGAGAGGCAGGAATTCATAGAGACTGAAACTTCATTTTAGTTAGCCGCAAGCGCCGCTTATGCCCGGCGGGCAGGACTACTGGTCCTCCTGCATGATGGGGCACGTGGAGAGAAAAAAAACGAATAATGGAGTCACTATCTAAAATGACAATGTGTGATTCCTGTAAGTAACAACAGACGAAACTTTAATAAAGGTGACAGCAACGGTTATTATACGACAAAGTTTCTAATCATTTCCTAATTCTGTTTGCTCCTGCAAAAAGCTAGCAAAAGCTAACTTTCGTGCGTAAATTCAAAGGGAGAATGACACGAATAGCTCAAAAACTTTAGCCTAATATATATAATATGATTTTTGAACTTTTAATTAGTTCAATGTGAACTTAACCAATGTGCAATATCGTCCCCGAACCTTTAATTTCTTCAACATGGTTCCTACACTTTTAGTACATGATCAAGTTAGTATCCTTCCATTAATTCAAGTTTAGGGACAATATTTAACATTTTCATATATTTCAGGGACTAGATTAAACATATATCAAAAGTTCAAGGACAAAATTGAACAAATTGAAGTTCAGAAACAATATTGTACATTAGGCTAAAGTTCAGAGACTATAAACAAATTAAAAGTTCAGGGATTATATTACATGTTAAGCCAAAGTTCAGAGACCATTAGTGTCATTTCCCTAAATTCAAATGGGTGAGAGCTAATAGCCCAGTTTGGTGGGTTTGCTTGCTTCACTATCATGACAAGAGTCCCACGTGTTGCGTGGGCATGGAACAGTGTTAATGGCTACTAGGGACAATGGAATTCAAGGGTCCAAATTGGCGATGTTATGAATTGTCACACCTCTAGAAAAATATGTATTAGAAAGTAGAAATCCAAAATACTACATTGTAAGAAAAAAAGACAAAAATCCCCCAATTAAAAGGTGAAAAGGAAAGAGACCTAGTAATACTACCACACCTCATCACACAATAAGGGGATAAACCCTAGTAGGGATGGAGCCTAATGGGGGAAAAGGAAAAATCTAATGGAGACCCAAGTCCAGATAATTGGCTCATGATGTGCCTCTATACAAATGTGGCAATTTCATATGTCGCTGGCGAAATTCATAATGCTATAATGTCTCATTAGTCCTTGCTTCCCTAGCAACCATAAGCAGAGCTCTCTGCCACAGTCTGAGGCATCCCATCTTGCAAGCAATCAATGGGAGGGATGGTCAGGGTCTCCTGGACCCCGTAGGCGTTCCAGCAGAATGGGTCGTCGACCAGCTCGCCCTCGTGCGGCAGCAGCTCGACCTCCGACATTGTGATGTTGGTGCACGGCACCGTGTCACTGCAGGCGAAGTGGATCGGCGGGCTGATCACGTTGTAGGTGCCCTTGATGTTGCGGAAGGAGAGGTCGGTCACGTACACGGCC